AATACAATAAAAATTTAAAAAATTTTTTTAAAAAGTGGAAATAAGGCATGGAAAATACAAATGAATTACAAAGAAATTAACAAAAATTTAGTGTCTTGAAATAATCTCTGTGTGTGTTTATATGTGTTTAAAGGCATGTGTGTAAAGGGGAAAAATATATGGTGAGAAGTGGATATGGGGAAGTTGTTAACACCAATAACAGAAGCAGGATATGGAAGAAAGGACAGTATTAGGAAAACATACTTAAATGCGCATGTGGTAAGCTCGTCAGCCTAGTCATAAAGTTTTGGGCCAAGATCGTGGACATGGGCTGTCTGAACCACTTCACAGTAATCAATAACATAATAGCTAAGCTTGTGAAAACCTGCACCCTCAGCATCAGCCATGGTTAAGTTGACTTTCATCCTTTCTGATAAGGTGGTTAATAGAGGGTTGAGCATGTGATGTGAGCTGGAACAGGAGAACTTCTTTAGTAAATTTCAGATGGAAGGTTCCTCAGCAGAAAACAACAAAACTGATATAGAACTGATATCTAGAAAACTTATCTTGGGCCTTGAAAACTGTGCCCAGAATACCAGAGCATTGGAAATCAAGCTGACCAGTAAGTACCTCCCCTGCCTTATAGTATCCATAGACCTGTTAACTGTATCAAGCAACAAGCAATCTCACTGAGACATATGACATCCTCATAAAGATTATTCCTAGAAAACACTGAAAAGATTTACAAAAACCGACAGTCGCTGGATGTGATGTTAGTATTTACCTACCAGTACTGAAGACTAAGGACATTATTTCATATTGGGGGGGAGGGGAAGAAAACAGAAAAAAACACTGAAACCAGGAGCTGGTTCTTTGAAAATATCAATAAAATTGAGAAACTATTAGCAAAACTAATTAAAAAAAGCAAAGCCACAAATAATCTGAATAAGAGATGAAAAGGTCAACATCACAATAAAACCAACTAAAATAAAAATAATGGAATATGATGAAAAACGAAATTATTCCAAAATAACAGAATTATTATGAAAAACTATAATCAAACAAATATGAAAACCTAGAGGAAATGGACAAATACTTCAAAAAATCAAAACCTACCTAAACTGACACAGACTGAAGTAGAACACCTAAACAAATCCATTACAAAAGAAGAAATTGAACAGGTAATAAAACAACTTAAAAAATCCTGAACAAGAGGTTTTACTAGTAAATTTTACCAAATATTCAGAGAAGACCTGTCACCAATTTAACATAAAGTATTTCAGAAAACAGAAAAAGGTGGAATTCTCCCAGATTCATTCTATGAAACAAACATGTTTGATACCAAAATCAGGTGAAGACATCACCAAAATAGAAAAGTATAGACCATTATCTCTCATGAACATAGATGCAAAAAACCTCAATAAAATCCTGCCAACAGTATCCAACAGTAAGTAAAAAAAAAACAACCCAAAACATTCACCATGACCAAGAGGGATTCATAACAGGTAAACAAGGATGGTTCAACCTAAAATAAAAAAGTATAATTCATCACATTAACAAAGCAAAGAACAAGAACCACATGATCCTATCAATTGATGCAGAAAAGGCCTTTGACAAAATCCAACACCCTTTTCTGATCAAAACACTCAACAAAATAGCAATAGAGGGAAATTTCCTCAACATAATAAAAGTATATATTCACAAAACTAAGAGCCAACGTCATTCTCAATGGATATTAAAAGCATTCTCTTTGAGAACAGAAAATAGGCAAGGATGCCCACTATCACCTCTCCTATTCAATATTGTACTGGAAGTCTTAGCAGTAGCAATAAGACAAGAGAAGGAAATAAGAGGTATGCAAATTGGCAAAGAGGAAGTAAAATTATCTCTATATGCAGATGCTATGATAATATACTTAGAAACCCCTAAAGACCCAATTAGAAAACTATTGGACATAGTCGACCAATTTAGCAAAGTGGTAGGATACACAATCAACATACAAATATCAATTTGAACATTTCTTCATGTGCATATTGGCCATCCGAATGTCTTCTTTGGTGAAGTTTCTGTTCATATCCTATCTGGTTGTGGTTCTCAAGTATTTTATAAATTCTAGTTATAAGTCCCTTATCTGACATGTCATTACCAAATACTTTTTCCCAGTCTGTGGTTTCCCTTTTTACCCTGTTGGAGAAGTTTTTGGATGTGCACAGGGATTTGATTCTTAGAAGGTCCCATTCATCTATTTTATTTTCTCTCCTGGTTGCAGATTTTTCAGGATATTTGGAAGACTGTTTATATTGTGGATTAGGACTACTAGAGTTTGTCCAAGTTTTTCTTTAGTGAAGCAAAATCCCTAGCTCTGAGAGAGATACACATCAAAACAATTACGAGATATCATCTCACCCCAGTAAGAATAGCAATATTTAACAGAACAGCAAGCAACAAATGCTGGCAAGGTTGTGGAGAAACTGGAACCCTTATTCACTGCTGGTGGAAGTGTAAAATGGCGCAGCCACTGTGGAAGGTGGTATGGTGCTTTATCAAAAAGTTGCAAATAGAGATACCATTTGACCCAGCAATTCCACTACTGGGAATATAGCCTAAAGAGACCATAACAGATATATGCACACTCATGTTCATAGCAACGAGTTGGAAACAACCAAGTGCCCATCAACAAATGAATGGATAGAGAAGCTGTGGTATATTCACACAATGGAATACTACACTGCCTTGAAAAACAAGGAACTCAAGCAATATTATTCAAAATGGGTGACCCCCGAGGACATTATGCTGAGTAAAATATCTCAGTCACAAAAAGACAAATACTGCATAGTGCCACTGTTGTAGAATGGGACTGACATCAGGGTTGGGTAAGACTGAGAAAAACTGGATGGAATGAGTATACGGAGTTGAAGCAGATGTGGGAGAGAGTGGTTTGGGGGCAATATATGATGGGGTATTGGGATTATCACAGGAGTCCAGAATTAAGGTTGCATAATGGAGTGCATTCAGAGCCGGGGCAGGGGGGGTTGTATACCAATGAATACGTTTATCTTTTGCTTTTCAAAGAGAGAAGTGAACTGGGGGGCGGGTAGTTTAAAAAGTGCAACAATCAATCAATGGAAATCCAAAATCTCTGTGAATGTTCATCAAAACTAGTAAAATACTTTTTTTTAAAAAAAATAATCAATTTGAGGGGAATTCTGGTGGCCTAGTGGCTAGAAGCTGCACTGCAATCCCAAAAGTTCACAGTCTGAATCCATGAGATGCTCCGCTGGAGAAAGTGGGGCAATCTCCTCCAGTGCCAATCAGATCCAATTAGATGGTACACAACAAGGAAAAAAAAAATGAATTGGATTTCTCTACAATGACAAAGAGAATACAGCAGTGGAGCTAAGAAAAACAGTACCCATCATAATAGCTAACTCCAAGATTAAATATTTGGGAGTAAATCTAACTAGAAACACAAAAGGCTTATTCAAAGAAAATTACAAAACATTACTATAAAAAACCAAGAGCTGGAGAAATGGAACAATATACAATGCTCATGAATAGGAAGACTCAGAATTGTGAAGACGATAGTTCTGCCAAAGGCAATCTATAAATTCAAAGCCATCCCAATACAGATACCAATTATATTTTTCAATGAGAAATAATCTTAGGAAAAACAGAAGATAAATGGAAGACCCAATAATTATCCTTTTGGTATAACACGAAGTAATAGAGATACAGAAAAGAAATAATATATTATCTAGTATGATGGCGTTGAGTAGATTCTACTTGTAAGTACGCCAAGTGACAAAATACAATTGCCCTAGAAGTTTCTTTAGCTATAATTTACTAATTTCAATTTTTTATGATCTGAATTAGTTTACAAAGCAAATTCATTCTCTATTTAACCACTCATAGATATGTTGTTTTATAACACTAATTACAATATCCACATTGTAATCACAATTATTTTTTCTATCCTACCCTTTCCTGTCTACATTATACTTTTTATGGAAGTAGATTTCTAAGTCTTCTCTCTTGTGGAACTACTGGTGGGTTCAAACTGGCTTTATGGTTAGAACTTAACCATGCTACACCACAGCTGCATTTTCATAGAATAATATTTACAAAATGCTGCACTAGCAGTCTTATATAGAATAAAAAAAACACAATTTCATGATTAAGCAAAAAGGGAATAGTTAGCACATACCTGGCTTTAGCTTATCCTTGAGATATGGGACCAACTTGTATTCTTTAAGAACTAATTCCCAGTCTAAGTCTGGGATGGTCAGATTTGCAAGAGTTCCTAAACATTCTATCACAAACTCTTCTTCTTCATCATTAGAGATCTGGGCTGCAAGGTCTCCAACATAATCCTAAATAAAATATAGAACCTTAATACAAATGTAAAATACACTTTCAGAAGAACAATTAACCTAATAATTTCACTTATAGGAAGAAAATGATGTTATTAAAGGTATGTTATTATGATGTTATTATTTTGTTCAAGTTTTAATAATCTTGAACTAAAATGCTAGGTTTTGAGATATGAAGAGTCAGCTAAGCAGTGAGGCAAGTGGACAGAGGTAGAAAACAATAAACTGAAATAATAATATTAAAATATAGGTTGAGATTTCTAGGTGTTAATTTTATAAAGAAGTTCATAACAGAAGAATTGATTTTGGTCATGATTGAGAATGGAGTAAGAGTAACATTTTCAAATGGAGCATTTGAAAACTTCAAATCTCAGTTTATTTTAATAAATAGTAATACTAATATACTCACAATAAATAAATTTTTTGTTGGTCCATCATGCTGTGAAATGTTCCTAATCATTTTCATCAGCAATGGATCCTTGAATTTGAGAGCCCTCTTCATGAGCATCTTAAGGCCATTTCCTGTAAAGAATAATAGAAAATTCCTCAAAAAAATGAAAACTAACTTATGTTTAATGTTTTTTTGGTTCATAATTAGTAAAAAAGAGAGATGAGACCTTGCCATTTCCTGTTCAGGCTAAAACAGCTTCCTCCTAACCAGTCATAGAAAAGGAAACAGATACACAGGTTAGCCATTAGCACGGACTGATTAGGGGCTGCCCTGCTGGGACCTTGTCACTACCTTGGTCCTTTGTCTACTCAGGTGGGAACAGCTACCTCCTAATCCGCCACAGGAAAGAGACAGACATCCAAGTCGTCCATTAGCACCAACTAAGACTTGAGGCTGCACTTCTATGACCCTGCCACTTTCTTGGGCCTTTTCCCTGAGCAAAATATCCCAGGTAGCATTCCTGGGACTTTGTTTACCCGAGGGAAACCTCTCCCTCCCTTCAAAGTACAGGACAGGACAAAGAAGGGAGCCCACCACAGCTGCACAAAATGAGAGATCCCTGCCACTCAGAGGACAACTGGATGAGAATCTTGTCACAGGAAATGGGGAATGGAGCTGACACAGATGACTAGCAGCGAAGATTGCCAATGTGCAACTGAACTGGGAGCAACACTTACAGTCTGCAACTCTATCAACAGCATCATATAGATAAGGAACTGACAATAAACTATGCAGACACAACAGAAACTGCCTCACACATACTAAGATGACCTTCACATTATATCAAGGAAGTGGCAGGCAAGTTCAAACATTATGAAAGAACAAATCCTCTCCTAAAAGAGCAGAACAGATTGCAGACCCAGGGAATACCCTAGAGACATGGAGGCAGAAAAATATATCAACATGGAGTTACATAAAATGGCATGGAAGAAATTACAAATGATAAAAGAAAGAGTTGATACCCTAAGTAAAGAGGTACAAGAATTAAAGAAATTATCACAAGACAGAAAGGAAAGGGTACAATCCACACAACATAAATGCATGAAAAAGCAATCAAGAATATCAATACTGAAATGGCAAAACTTTTCAACATGCTGGAGGGATAAAAAATCAAAACAAAAGAGATAGAACAGAGAATCATCAAGCTAGGAGACAAGAACCTCATTAAGAAGAAAAACTAGAAGACAGAAGCAAAATGAAGAAAACATTAGAATTATGTGGGATAACATCAAACAGAGCAACATGCATGTGACTGGAATTTCAGAAGAGGAAGGGGAAAGCACTTAGAAAATTGTAGCAGAAGTACTAGAAGAAAGCTTCCCAGGTATCACGAAAAATGAAGAAATTCACATTCAAGTAACTCAGTGAACTCCAAACACGCTAGACTGCAAAAGAAAAACATCAAGACATATAATTGTCAAAGTCTCCAAAAACCAAAGATAGGGATAGATGAAAAACAGCATGAGAAAAACAGTCACCTACAAAAGACCACTAATTAGATCAAGCTTTGACTTCTTAGCACAATTATATAAAAAAATTTAGAAATATTAAAAAAATGTGTACAATTCAGTTACTTTTCACAAACTTGTACACCTGTCTCTTTCTATTCACTAAAAAAAAAATTCTATTTATGCCACTTTCTTGTCAATCCTATTCTTCATGTGAAATAATTTTGTTTTCCTCATTTTCCCTGCTCCTTTTTCTTTTTTCTCTTCCTCTCCTATTCTTTCTAGTTTTAACCCAGGTTAGTTTTGCTTGTTCTAGAATTTTATATAAATGAACTAATATAGTATGTGCTCTTTTAGCTCTAGAATATGCACAAAAAATTTTAAAAATCTAAATGCTCTTTAAGAAAATTGTTAGTACTATCTATTTATCCCAAGACTATAAAAATGGAAAGATAGAATAAAGAATGGGATAAAAAAGAATCCCGATAGCATTGTTAGCAAAAGATTAAACTATGACAAATCTTTACAGGGATTATTTTGCATACAATTAACAATTATGTTTTAAAGATGTATTTAAAAACCACAGGTATACTATTCAAGATATTATTAATGACAGTAAAAAATAAAACAAAAACCTCAAGTTACAATACATAAGAAAGACCATTTTCATGCGAAGTATGCAGAAGCATTATACCAAAATTTTACCTATGTTGGTAAAGATTTTAATTTTTTTTTCCTTTATGAACATGTAAAACTTTTCAAATAAGAAAAAGCTATTAAGCATTATATGACAAATTAGCTATTAAACTAAAATTATAAAACAATAACCTAGTATAATCATAGGTATCATGTTTAAAAAGACACTGCAATAGATTACTTCTTTAGTTAAAACATATACAAAAAATATTTCACTTCATTTAAGCAAAGCTTTAAAAAAATAGTATTTTGAGTATGGCTAATCCATTACAATTTATGTCAATGAGGGATAAGAGCCTCCACATAAGAATATTTTGAGTTTATTTGACCTTTAATGATTATAGCTACAATGAAGGAACTACTTAATCTTAAGGTTTACATGTTCACTGTAATTCTTAATTCCTTATTTATTTCCATCATATGTCCACTCCCATATGCTAAAGAGGTTACCTATGAGGTTCAAAGGCACTAACCTTCACAGATAAGCTGTACATTTCTCTTGTTAGCAGCAAGATTAATGCAGAAAGAAATGAGTTCCAAGTCAATTCGTTCATCTGAACATTCAAAAAGCATCTTCATTAACTAGTAAGAAACACAGGCTGTATTTTACTCAGAGCAGCAACAAACACAACTCTGAAGCAATATTTTATCACAATGTGTCATCTTAGTTTTAATGCACATAATGAAACACCATTTTCATTTCTCAAGGCTGTCATTGTTGGATAACTTATGAATGAACGGTTAATGAACTACTAGATAATCGGCATTAACATAAATCTATGGACAGTAGGAAAACCAAGAGAAATAATAGGTAAAACTTCAAGGAAGGAAAAATACTGTTTGGAGGCAGATAATATAGATAAAAGAAAATAGCTTGTGCAGAGGTCATAAAGCAGCAAAGAACATGATTCTTGTGAAGAACTGAAAGAAGGAAAGTATGCTACAGTGAGGGAAGCAGTCCTAAGAGATAAGAAGTTAAAAGCCAGATCATGCAGTGTCTTGAAGTATACACTATGGGTTTTGGTCTACATCCTAAAGATAATGGAAAGCCATTAAAGACATTAAATAGGAAAGTGTCAGAAAAAGATTTGTGTTGCAAAAAGACCTGGTCAATGTATACTGAGACATGATAAGAAAATATGGACAGCCACTTAGAAGGCTAGTAGAATAGTGTATGTAAGATGATACTCAGACTCCGGCTAGGCATTTTTGGAAACAAGAATAAAAATTAAATTTAATAACTAATTATCTGGGCCAAAGGAGGGAAGTCAAGGATTACTCCTAGGTTTCTATACTGAGCAATGACAACAACAGCAGTCAAAGCATTTACCCAGTGAAAAAAACTATAGGGATTTTGGTTTTAAATATGTTGACTTTATGCAGCCAACAAAATAATCCAATAGAGATGTGGTTGTTGTTGTTAGGTGCTGTCAAGTCTTACATGATGCATAGTGACCCTATGAACATAGAAGGAAAGGGCTAAGTGATAGATGCCATTTAACAGTAATTGAGGTTTGTATTGGTAAGAGACAATTGTAATAATAAAGGAAAAATGGGCAAATTTCATGCTATAATTTCGAGGGAAGGAATCTTGGTGGCATAATGCATTATTTGCTGGGCTGTTAGCCAAAATGTTGGTGGTTGAAAACCAATTGGTTACTCCAAGGGAGAAAAATGGGCAAACTGCTCTGTAAAAACGTACAGACAAGGAAAAACCCTATGGGGATGCCAAGAATCGAGACGGACTCCACAGCAATGGGCTTGTTAGTTTTTTGGTTTATGATTTCGAGATGCTAGTTTTCATTATTGGTAAATCAACAAATTAAATTACTATACGTTATTAAGGATAATTTTCTTTAAGATCAAATTTCTAACAACATATTGATGTGTCTCTAAAATTAAAAAATTAAAATGTCTTATGTAACTTTGAAAGCTATTTCAGGGGAATATAATTTTTTTGTCAACAAACCTTTGGGAATCAAACACAATGTCCTTGAATGTATCATAAATACTTACCAATTGCATAGAAACCATTTTGTTAAATATTAATTCGATTTGCTTGTTCTAGTTAACCTCTGAGTTTAGAAAAGCATACGAAGTAAACTTAAGAAAATCAATAGAATTCTGTATGCCAATAATGTGCAACTGGAAACTGAAATTAAAAACCATAATAATACCATTTACAATTGCTCCAAAGAAATAAACTGCTTGGTAAAATTATAATGGCATGTACTGAATCTGTATGGCAAAAAGCATTGTTTCTCTTCCCAGAGGGTATCTCTTTAACTACTAATGTTACATCTAATGAAATGGCTCTATGAGTGGAGAGTGAAAAGATTCTGCAGTAATAGTAAAATAATCTTAGTTGACTGGGTATACAATGAAGAGATTTTATCACCTAATTGATATTAATTAATTAAAAACATTAAAATTTATTAAACATGTAAGTCATCAACATAAAATTAATTGTTATGTTTTCCATACTTTAATCACAAGTGCCAAACAGACTTGTGAAATTTTACTTACAACCATAAATTTAAAAAATAATGAAAATCTTTTTTACTAGGAGCATAGCTTTAAGAAGGCAAGGTATCTGTTACTAACAAGAACTATTTGCTTCAAATTAACCTTTGTAACATTAAAATTGTTCTTAAAAATGGAATTATAGGTGATATGTTTAGAGGTTGAGGACATTATTTTGGTAATTTCCTTGCTAAATCCTGTGTAGAAGCAAATAATCAGGAGCTACATGAAATGACAAAAATGTACTGTTTGAAATTGTGCTTGTGCCCTCCAAAATTCAAAAGAAATTAGGGCAAAATCTGAATGGAATAAATGTGATATTGAATTAGTTTTCATAATAAGAAAGAAAAATACTTCCATTTTAATTAATTTTAAAGTAATAGTTTAGTTCAAATGCCACATGCAACTTTGTCTTTATTTGATAGGTACCTATGGCACTTCAAAAGTGCAATTGCTGCATATTAAAATTAGATTTGTTCTTTAACTACGTTCATTGTCATCTTTCACTGATTTAACAGGAAGGTACTATAAAGGGCTTCAGCCGGTGCAATGAAGAGGCAATAGTGTTCAATCAGACAAGTCCCATATTGAGTATCAGATACCAAAGACCCATGACTGAAATCACTGTGTCTAGACTCTCTGGCACCTGACTTCACTTATTTACCAGTGACCAGAGGCCAACCCCCACAGCTCTCTGTATTCACATACACCTCTGCCACCCCCAGCCCCCTACCCAAACATCTTTGAATGATTATGCCAGAACTTTGCATGCCTCAGGAATCTCTTCTGACTGGCTACTCCCTAACTCTGCTGTTTGAAGTGATGCTCTGGTTTCTGAACTTCGGCAGATAATGGCAGGCAAGAGCAAAGGGGGCTGTCAGAAAGGACGTTTACCAGCATTCAGCTAAAAAGAAGCATGTAGATCAAAGAGGGGCCAAATAGGACAACTGTGGTCGAAAACATGTGGATAGCTATGAGATTCTTGCACACTGTTCCAGGGTAAAATATTAAATAACACCATGACATCACAACCTAGCCATGTACTTTGATTGGCCATTCTATTCCCAATAAATACTTTTTATAAGCATCTGGATGGCATTTGCACCTATTTAAACAAAATGTGCATCTCAGAGGTCTAAATAACAATGAACTGCTAATGTGTACTTTTAACTATTATTAGAACACAACCATTAACTCCTGGTTATCCCCAAGTATGCTTACCTGAAACAATCTACCCATTTAGACCATTAAGATCACGCATAAAGAAAGCTTGATCTGGCCCCAAGATTTTGCAGAATAGTGACATAATAAAGGAGGAAAATACAAATAAATTGGATAATTAGAGGCAATAAAGATGGCAAGTAATAGAAAATTGGGAAAAGAGAGTATACTGTATACATAATGACATATTCTGGATGGTGGGTATTTTATAAAAGTGAAATATTATCAAATTATAGGTTTATACCTTAAAAAGGAAGATAATGAAAATAAACTATCAGTAGGTCTAAAATGATTAGAAAGACTTGTTATTATGACTAATAGTATCTTAGTTGTATGTAGTGTTTTACGATCTATACAGCTCCTTTATATGTATTATGTAAAGTGAATAAAGCACAGAACCATGTTTCACATTCTTTCTGATCAATGAGCCTACTATAAACTACAGTTCACATTTATAAAACATTTAACATACGTAAACACTGTTATTTTCCTACTCTCAATGTCATCTTGGGCTTTTCATGTGCAATACTTGGAGATGATTACTAAATAAAAATCAATAGGAATAATTTCAAAGAGAAAACAATATTATTTTAATTCAATCAACTTCAGACACAGCTTTCTCTAGGAAGTTGGTTAATTTAGTTGCTAACACGGGCGACACTTAACCATATCAGCTGTTGCCAAAATATTCCAAAATGGAATCCTGAATGGCAAGTTGCAGGTTGAAAGCACTTTAGGAACAAATATATTCTAGAGTATCATTTGATCTTCTCAAAATACGACCTCATGCTAACAAAACCCTTCAGGATGTTTACAACATAATGTGATAGCATAACCTTATTAATCCCATTAGAGCTGAACTTTCTGTGTGTCTGTGAGCGCGTGCACAGGGAATTGGGCTGCTAGCCCAAAGATGAAGCACCTCTGGTGGCTCAAAACCACAGGAGAAAGATGAGCAATCATCTCTCATGTGATTTACAGCCTCTGAAAACCTGCTCGAGTTAGCTATGAGTTGATTCCAACTCAGTGGCAGTGAGCTTACGTGTTTTTTTTTTTAAATATATATAGATAAAATATATCTATATATTTATATACACATACTTGAAAACAAACCCCAAACCTTTGAACCTTGTGTTAGTTTTGACATAGTCTGTTCATAAAATACTACAAGATAATTAGTGGGCACTGTGTAATCAGTCCATTCTGACTCACGGCCACCCCATGCATAGGGCCAGTGTTGCAAAAGGTTTTCAATGACTGATCTTCCGAAAGTAGGTGACCAGGCATTTCTTCTGAAGTATGTGAGTTAACTATTTGCACTACCCAGGGACTACTTTTATAAAATACAGATCATAAAAGTTCTAAAAACTTGCAGGCATATTTAACAGAAGAAAAATGTCTGACAAGAAGATATGGATGAAGATTGTTCTTGAAAAAGAATGAAGACCTTTTTTAGGTATTAAGTTTTGTTGTTAGGTGCCGTCAAGCTGAGTTTTGATTTACAGTACACCTCAGTGACAGAAAAACATGCCTATAGGATTTCCCCGACTATAATCTTTGGAGAAACAATCTGTTAGGTCTTTCTCCTTTGTAGCCGCTGGGTGGGTTCTAACTATTGACTTTTTGTTAACAGCAAAGCACTTAACTGCCCAGAGCTCTTTATACAAAATTTTAAACTGCAATAACAACAATGTCTCACAGTAATATAAACAAGTCTTATTTCTGCTTGTTTCATAAAAGAAAATTTTATGTCTTATATTTTAGAGCATATATTCTAAGAGGATAACTCTGGGTTTTTTTTTTTTTTAAAATGGGGTTTCCATCCCTTTTTATTTCTC